ATCAGGTTAAAATATATTTTTTATTTATTTAGGAGAGAATAAATTCGTCAAACTCAAAATCCATTCAATGATTCCACATTACAATTTCATCATCATTGTAGCTTTCTTGATGGAAGGTGTTGACCCCTTCTTCTTCTTCTTGTTCCCGTCTTCTTGTAGGCTACCGTTGTTCAAACCTTGTAAGGCATTGCCGTAGTTGAGCAATCTCACGATGTATATCCTCCATCATCGCTTCATGAATTGGTCTTTGTTGATTTCATTGAGGCGGCATCTTTGCCGGCTCTGATACCACTTGACTCTGGATGTGGGAGTAGTCGCAGCTTAAAATAGACGAGGGATAGACATAGCACGAGTTGTAGGAATCACAGCTAAAAAAACCCAAGAATATTGATTCATTTTGTCAATTCAGCGTGTTCAAGGCCCAAACATGCACAAATTAGTGCAATTTCGAACTCACTAGATTCATCTCATTCTTGGATTTTGAATTGCAGAAATCATAATCTAGATGGATTTTGTGCATCATTTCAAGCTAGATGGATTTTGAAATCATAATTGCAGAAATCATAATCTAGATGGATTTTGAAATAAATTTCAGCATTTTCAAATATATTTCAAGCTCATTTTAGGATCCAAAACTTAACGTAGAAGTTCATTATTACTCAAATTAGTTTTACAAGCAACATCAAATTTTTTTCTTTTTTCGTTTCTCGAGTCATATTCTCAGCCTTACCTGCTACGTACAGAGTCGCTCTTGCTAGAAACAACTATAAAATAAGAACTATTTAATTTCCATCAGAAAAGAATCTCTTGGACGCATTAAATCCACTAATCGGTGACTTGTGTTTTTTTTTTATCTCCAATCAACCATGAGATGTCTGTTTCTCCCCTTTGTTTACATAGAGCTCTGCGCTGGAACAAACTCAAAAAACATTATAGAAGTTTCCAAATGCCAATAAATAAGCTAGATGCCCTCTAATCATCTTAAAACTGTTATTATAATATCATTAAATTAAGAAGGACCTTGATATAAAGAGAGAGAAAGATGAGAGAGAACTAGCTAGCTGTGTCACTTGAAAGAGAAGCGAAGAAGAAGAGTGGAGTTGAAGCCAACATGTGAGGGCATTTAATGCGAAGTGGGCATAAGACTCGGGTAATGGAAACTTGTAGTTTCAACTTTTGATTCCATTTTGAGTTTTTTTTATTTCCAACACTTCACTGCTCAGTAGCTGTACCTCTCTTGCTTTTATAATCTCTAGAGCTTTAATTTGATGTCGGATCTCATTAATACGATTCCCTCTATTGTTGTGTTTCTAACTTCTACTGATTATCAAACCATGACCTTAGGTTGAAGATTTCTGATCATTAGTCAGCATCATGTCAGGGACTAATTGCATACATATTTTATGAAATTTTTTTATGGATATACGTAGTTTATGTTTAAATGAGCAATGTGTTGAGCTCATGAGCTTATGAGATATGCCAAATTCTTTTAATTAATCTCTTTACTTATCATTGAAAAGGAAATCCTATATAATTTAATGAATTTTGTCTTAATTTTAAGTTCATTAGATTCATTAAATTATTTACGTGATAATTTTTATTATATCATTTAGGTTGGTTTAATATTTATTACGTTATGTTAAAAAATAAATTATCACATAGCATCCAAGTGAGTACAAGCCAGGGTCCCATCGTTATACGTCTATTATCCGTTTGGTAGAGGAGAGAATATTTTTAATAGTTTTAAAGGCTTATTTTACAGGAGAACTTAATTGTCATATATGTAATCATTCTAAGCGAATGAAAAAACTTTTGAATTTGAAAAGCTTTCATTGCAAGATTCTTGTGAAGCTTCTAATTAAAATAAATAGTTCATCAAGCAAAACAATTCTTGAAAGTTTTCCATCTTGTTGCATCAATATTTAGAAATTATGTAAAGGTGCTTTGTATTGTACATATTTTTCTTTATTTATTAATTTGAGATTACATTGTAACAATTTTGTGATAATCTTTGAATCACCAATGAAATTTAAGATAACTTTAGCTTGGCTTTTTATTTATGAACTTTAGGATTTATAGATTACGTCAAGTAGATCTTGGAAGAGTTTTGTGAAGTTGAGTGCTTTTGTCGAATCACATAGAGGCCCTGTTAATTGCCATTTAACAAAGGTTTTGTAAATGGTACTCCAACTATTCAAGAGAGTAGGTAGAGATTCTAGAATGACAGATCAAGTTAGAGGAGTTTATGTTTAGGATGGAGTTACGCAACACATCTGTTGGTTGGAAGCTTTGATTATTAATCAAGAGGTCTTGGATTTGCTTTAAGGACTAGTAACTTTTTTGAATAATTAACACGAAGTTCATAATTTTTTTCAAAAAGAAGAAGTCTTGAGTTTTAGTTTTGTTTATGTGATGTGTATATGATTTTTTTTTTAATTGGTCTAAATATAAAAAAAAATAGAAAAAAAAAAAAAAAAAAAAAGGGGGGGGGGGGTTTCTTTGAAATGTAAACCGGAGTTTGGCTTGTAATGATCAGCTCATCAGTGAAACATTTCCATAACTGAAATAAACTTGAATAGTTTTGTAACGTGGATTAGTGTGACAATTTGGCAGCGAGTGGTGGGAATTTTTTACCGAGGAAAAGAATAGTTTGTCAGAAAGACAACAAACTGAGCATTAAATGTTTCAACGACAGATTAAGAACAGAAGCTAAACTTCCATATGGCCATTGACCAAATCTTCAAGCATCACTAATTGTATATGGCAATTGAGCTTATGAGATAAATCTTCGTTATCTCAAGTTCTTTTATCAATACGGCCTTCAATAAATGTCTTATCTCTAACACCCATAAACAAGGAAATAAATATACTAATCAAAATGAGAATTTCTTTATTTTTGTCCTAAAGATGAAGCAGATATAATGAAAAGTTTTTTGTTGGGCCAATTAAAATATTAAAGTAATGTTTTTCATTAATATTAAATGTATTATTCTGTAATATGATATTGTGTTGATTAATATCCATATAGATTGTTAAATGCATATATTTTGACGCCAAATGAGGCAGCGCTATATATGATTCAAATTCTAAAGACTCGTGTACGGACCCTTCAGAAGTTTGAGAAAATTGAATGAAAGTGGCAGCAAACCACATAATCAGAGCAACAAGAATTAAGATTGAATTGGAGAATTGATGATAGTAATCTAAGCTCAACAGGAAGAAAAAGAAATGGAAGAAAACATGCAAACATTTTATGCAGAGATTACTGGAATTCTGAGCAGTCAATCTACTCATGACTTGTGGCTTCTTAAGTGCATAGTAACAGCTAGAATTATCAATCAAACTCTCTCTCTCTCTCTCTCTCTCTCTCTCTCTCTCTCTCACTCTCTCTCACTTTCTATACTGACTGAAAGACAATTCATTTTACCATGTACTCAAGCTACACCATGGTCGTCGCCTGAGATGAAGAGTGTCTTACAAACGCCAAGTTTCTACTAATTAATAACAAATTAGCCCAAAATATTTCAGCTTATTGCATGCTCCATCCGAACCTAACGTTGCCTCTACCAGATTACTGCACATGAACTATATGATTAGTTAAAAAGTGAGAAAGTAAAAGCACTAAAGTATATCATGGTGGTGCTGAAGCCTTTCCAAGCTGAAATAATTAAGCATGGTTATCATATATTTAATATTTGTGTCATAAATACACAGAATCGAGTTATTTGATGAGTTCATTAACCACGAATTAAATCTCCACCACCTCTTGTAACAATATATGGATTAATACGTGCCCATGTGAATGTCTGCAACAAACATTCACGTCGAGGTCCTCTCTCTCTCTCTCTCTCTCTCTCGACACCCAAGGGTTAGGGTTTACACCATTTCCAAACCATGGTCATTTAATTTGTCCATATCTCTATCTACGAGAGAAGTTAGAGAAAAGACAAAATGGAGAAACTTTTCTGATCTAAAAAGAGGAATCAACAGGCAACGTGAAAGCTAAACTAAAGCCTTCTATAACAAAGTATAATTCGATTAAATAAACGCTATTCCTTGGTTAATAAATGCATGTAAAGACGAGCAAAATTAACTAGAAGCGTGGCACTGCAGGTTCCTTTCTTCATTTTTACTTAAGCTTCTGCAGCTCTGGCATGGCGGTAAATTAAATTATTGAAGTCTAGCATTGAAGGAGAAGCACTATAACTCTTTTTCCACTAGTTTTAGTGTGGTCGAAGGAGACCGTTACAACTCCTATCAACTTATTTGTAGTGGAACCATACTCCTTAACTATACGTTAATTAAATTAATAGGTAAAGGATAATCTCTGGATATTCTTATATTCATATATTTTTTGAAATACATTATAAAATACTAAATCAAATACACTCATGCAACTTAATCTAGCAAAATTATACGAAGAAATATCTTACAAAATCAGCCTTCCCATTTCAAAGGAGTACATCTTATAATATTCAAAACAAAATTTCGATAGAAACATTATGACCTTAAGTTTCTCCTTGCCAATTTATTCAACCATCCTAAAGCTAAATGTATTAATACATGGCATATTTGCAAATTAAAGGCTGCATACGCCTTAGAGACTTGTCTAATGGTCCTCACCACATGCACTTGGAGAACATAATGCAGTTTTAAATTCCATGTTTATTGTATGAGTTGGAACTAAGATTCTTAATCATTAAGAATTTTATCCCTGTCAACATCTATAGTTAAAAATATATCCAAATAAAGACAGATAATTATGTCAATGTTTTCTTGAAACCCTAAGCTTTTCTAATTAATTTATCTCAATAGTTTTAGTCCTCATTGATTCCACCTATCTTTTAAAGCTTCAACTATAAATAAGCACACCCATCCAACTTCCATTTCCATCTCTTTTATGTCAAGTTAATTAGCCAATATACGTCTTCCTAACTCTCACCATCCTTCACCAACTTACAAGAAAAATTCCTTTCTTTGTGTAAGATTCAGAAGAACAAATGGGAGGTAATTCTCCATGTGCTTCTTGCAAACTACTAAGAAGACGTTGTACTAAGGATTGTATCTTCTCCCCATTCTTTCCATCTGATGATCCTCAGAAGTTTGCTATTGTACACAAAGTTTTTGGGGCTAGTAATGTTAGTAAGATGTTGCAGGTATTTATTTTTATCTTCTTAATGTGATAATTAGCTGAAATATCCTTAAACTTACATATTTTTTACTTTGTAAATTATATAATAATAGCATAAAAAATATAACATGTTTTGTTGAGTTGACTCCTCCTCAAATAGAGATATGATGATTCAAATCTCTCAATAACTAGAGAACAATGAGGTAACTAAGTGTTTGGCCCTTGGTTGAGCCTCTACTTGTTGGAGAAAAACGATATAAGGAATTACTTTTATAAATATATTTAAGGGATAAATGAACTTCATCTAATTTGTATTAAAATTTCTGAATTTTAAATATAAGTTTTTGTATCTCAATGATAAATGATTATGAACAATAACTCTCAAGGCATAATGTAAGGAGATGAATAATTTCATAGACTTATTTAATAAATAACTAATTATAGAATAAAGCATGATTAGATGGTTAGAGTTGAGCCCTACCCTACCTCAACCAAAAAAGAAAGATTTAAAACTTAGAAAACAAAATAAATTTAGTAAAGTCTTCCATATAGCTGGCCCTTGATATAATTAAAATTATTAATAGCATATTGCACATAGTTTTAATCAAAAAAATTCTTCTTTGTAAGCATCTAAAAGAAGAATGAAAGTGGTGGCCCATAATTTTTCGTGATTATTGACTGAGCATTTTAGTGAATTTTCTTTCTCAAATAGTCCCTTTGAAAGAAAAATTTGACTTGGAAGTGCTCCTATTATAAATTTGGGTCAATATAATAAGATAAATCTCAAAAGAGAAGCTAATTTGATTATAAATATAAGATATTTATAGAATATTATAGAATAATTAATTTGTACTATAAAATAACACACAAAAAAACTAATATAAGATTCATTATGGGTTAATTACTCATATATTCAATGATAAATAACACAAACAAATTATTGAAAATATATTAGACTTAAGTGAATGTAAAGATGATATATTGTCATGACTAACCTATATAGCTAAACCATGATAGCTAACATATATATACAATTTGGTGAATGCATGCAGGAGCTTCCAATTCATCAAAGAGCTGATGCAGTGAGCAGCCTTGTCTATGAAGCGAACGCAAGAATGCGAGATCCAGTCTATGGTTGCGTAGGAGCCATCTCTTACCTTCAGAACCAAGTGTCTCAGCTCCAAATGCAGTTAGCTGTTGCCCAAGCTGAAATTCTCTGCATACAAATGCAACAAGACCAACCCTTAACTCATGAAAACCATCAACAACAAAATATGATATCTCCTCATATTGATAACTCTCTTCTTAATCCTATTCCCCAGCTAATGAACTTTGCTTCTACAAGTAATGTTGGTCAAGACCCACTCAAGAGAGAGTCGCTATGGACATAATTATTTAATTAGCATTGTAGTTAATTTTCTTTCTTGTTGTAAGGAAATGTTAGGTTGTGTTATTGTTTTCTTAGTTAGCTTTTGTTGGTTTCAATTGCCTTGTAATGAAATCTCAATTAGATGATTGATGATTTGAAAGCTATGAATTAATCTAGTTGAGAGGCAATATGTAGGAAGCGCGTTCACGTGGTAAGTTTGAGCTTGAGATTTTTAGCCACTTGCTAGTTGTAAGAATGCAACCCTGAAATCAAGTTAATTCTAAGCTAATCTTGAGGTGAACTTGGAAGGATTGAAAATGATGACTCCTACTGATATCGCCTTCTTTCATAATGTTGGAAAAGCGATGAATTTTTTATTTGCTCAGTACTTTTCTCTAATAAAAAATAGTGTGGTTTTTTTTTTTAGTTTAGATAATGCTAAGATGGACTAATTAACCAAGTATATAAGTTAAAAAGATTATATTAATGGCTAAAGGAATCCTAATTATGGAGAAGATGATAAAAATAAAAATAATACTAAGCTAAAATGAATTAATACTAAAAATTTATCACACAAAGTTAATTTCTTATAAACTCTATTTCATTATTCTTTACAAAAATACAAACATATAATTCTCTTTAGAAGCTTCTTCTTTTTTTCTTTCTTCTGTTAAAAACTTCACTTCTAACATAATAAATGTTAAGGTGATGGGAAATATTTATACACATAAAAAATTCACACACAACATATATTATTTACTAACCAAATAATCATACTTGATAGACTTGTTTAATGGTCCTCACCACATGCACTTGGTGAACATAATGCAGTTTTAAATTCCATATGTTTATTGTATGAGTTGGAACTAAGATTCCTAATCATTAAAAATATTATCCCTTTTAACATCTGCATGACTACATCTCCATTAGCTAGAGTTAAAAATATATCTGAATAAAGTCACATAATTATTTCAATGTTTTCTCAAAACTCTAAGATTTTCTAATTAATTTATATCAATAGTTTTAGTCATTACTATTTCTACCTACCTTTTAAAGCTTAAACTATATATAAGCACAACCATCCAACTTCCATTTTCAAATCTTTTAAGTCAAGTAAATTAGCCAATATACATCTACCTAACTCTCACCATCCTTTAAAAACTTACAAGAAAAATTCCTTTATTTGTTTAAGATCCATAAGAACAAATGGGATGGACTTCTCCGTGTGCTTCATGCAAACTACTAAGAAGACGTACTCAGGACTGTATCTTCTCTCTAATCTTTCCATCGAATGATCCTTAGAAGTTTGTCAGTGTACACAAAATTCTTAGGCTAGCAATGTTAGTAAGATCATGGTGGTATTTATCTTTATCTTCCTAATGTGATAATTAGCTTAATTATCCAAAATTTATCATAGTATTTTACTATCTTAAATATATAATAATAGCATAACAAATACAACATGTTATTTATTGATTTGATTGCTCCTCAAATAGACATATGACTATTCAAGTCTCTTAATAACAAGACAAAAAAGAGATAACAAAGTTAATCTCCCCTTGGTTCATGGGCCTATGCATATTAATTGGAGAAAAAAGATTTAAGGAATTGCTTATATAAATATATTTAAGGGATAACTCATCTTCATCTAATTTGTATTAAAATTTGTGATGTTTGAAATATAACTTTTTGTAAGTCATTTATAGATGATCATGAACAATAACTCTAAAAGCATGTCAAAACTTATATCCTATCAAAAAGAGAGAAACCCTAGCCGCCTCGTCTGAGCTTCTGGGGCGATTTTGTGGCGATTTCGTTGTTTCGTTGGTCGAGGCTCTTCGTTAAGGTTCTGATCTGTCTTCTTGCCTTCCTCGTTTAGCCTCTTCACTAGTAAACTCGTTCCTTTCTCTGGACCCTCTTGTCGGCGGTTTCTCTGCTTTTTTGCCCTGTTTTTTCTTGGTGTCCGGCTTTTCGTGGTTTGAGGTTTTTTTTTTGCTTTCGTTGGGTGGGGGGGCGATGACGTCTCCGACGTCGTCTACCCCAGTTGTTCCTCCGATCCTTACTGGTAAAACCAGATCTTTTAAGGATGTTGTATCTAGTGGCTCATCTTCTTCGGCTTCGAAAGTCCAATTTGTGCATGCTCCTTTTAAGGGTTGTCCTGATCTTTTATTCGATGATGCTGTTGTTCAGCAACTGGCTGCTCCCTTTTCTTTCACTCTCGTTGGTAAGTTTATGCTACGGAGGCCGAATTTGGATGTTATTCAGAATTTTTTTCATTGTTTGAAACTCTCAGGTTCCTTTAATGTTGGTTTGCTATGTCACGACCCGACCCGACGGGGACGGATCCCGCCCGAGCCGGATCGCGACAGAACCTTCTAATCCAGGATCTGGCTTTGGAATTTGGTTCTGAACTGAATCTTCCAAAATAATTAACTCAACAGACACACAAACACAGAACAACAGAGCTACTATAAGTCACCAAATGCAGCGGAACAAAACATCTATATTTTCTTTCTTTTCCTCAAAACAATCATCTACAAATACGGTACATGGCTAGCAGAATAAACACAGAAGAAAAGCCATGACCGTACAAAAATCAAAAGTAAAACAATACCTATACGGATCAGAACTCAGAACTCTACTCCTGGACTTCCTTCCCTTTCCCAGAACCTGAAAACCACCAGAAAATAAGAGTGAGCTCAATAGCTCAGCAAAGCAACAGACCTCCAATCAAAATTCTCAGAATCCAAAACCAAACTCATCAGACAGAAATCCAATCAGAAATCAGAACAGAATCAGATCTCGAATCAGAACAGAATCAAACCAGAACTTATACGGACATATATCAAATCAGAATCAGAGTCGTACAGATCACACAACAGAATCAGAGTCGTACAGATCCGATCACAGAACAGAATAAATCAACAGAGTCAGAATCGTACAGAAATCAGAAATTCAGATTATATCGGAACAGAATTGTACGGAAACAGAAGTCAGAAATCAGAAACAGAACAGATCAGAATCACAATTGCTTACAGAACAGATACAGAAATCAGAATCAGATCAAATCAGATATCAGATATTTAATTAATAGCTAAGCTAAACTAAACAGAATCACTACGGATTCTGACCCTTATGTCTCCCATGTGCTC